TGGCGCTGTCTTTGCCTCCGGTTTCATCAGAGCCATCAAGTTTCTTGAGAAACATTGGCCTGAGCTGACCCATGATATTAGAACCGGTACCCTTAGTTCCGAGATAACCGATCATTCGGTCCGTGAGGCGGTCGGTGAGATTCTGAAACCGGATCCAAAGCTTGCGGATTTTGTTGAATCCGAATGCAAGAAGAACTCTTGGCAAGGGATCATCACTAGGCTTTGGCCAAACACCAAGTATGTGGATGTGATTGTGACTGGGACAATGTCACAATATATCCCAACTTTGGATTATTACAGCAACGGTTTGCCTCTTGTTTGCACGATGTATGCTTCTTCCGAGTGTTACTTCGGTGTTAATCTCAGGCCGTTGTGCAAACCAAGCGAGGTCTCTTACACTCTCATACCAACCATGGCATACTTCGAGTTCTTGCCTGTTCATAGGAACAATGGAGTCACTAGCTCAATTAGTCTTCCAAAAGCACTCACTGAGAAAGAACAACAAGAGCTTGTTGATCTCGTTGATGTAAAGCTTGGTCAGGAGTATGAGCTTGTCGTCACCACCTATGCCGGTAAAAAAAAAGAAGATTTTATCTAATTATCTTTTATTTTTACTTTTTAACAAAAGACTGAAAATATTTTGTGACCTATGTTGTTTATTGATGATATTCTTTGCTGGTAAAAAAAAAAATGTTTTTATTTTTATTTTATTTTTGCTTAACAAAAGACTTAAAATATATTGTTTTGTGATATTGTTTACAGGACTATACAGATACAGAGTGGGTGATGTCCTAAGAGTGGCTGGTTTCAAGAACAATGCACCACAATTCAGCTTCATATGCCGTAAGAACGTGGTACTAAGCATTGATTCAGACAAAACGGACGAGGTGGAGCTTCAGAACGCAGTTAAAAACGCGGTAACGCACCTTGTTCCCTTCGATGCCTCACTTTCCGAGTACACTAGCTATGCAGACACATCATCTATCCCAGGCCACTATGTTTTGTTCTGGGAGCTTTGCTTGAACGGTAACACGCCGGTTCCTCCCTCGGTTTTCGAGGACTGTTGTTTAACCATAGAGGAATCATTTAACAGTGTGTATAGACAAGGAAGGGTCAGTGACAAGTCCATTGGACCGTTGGAGATCAGGGTAGTCGAGTCAGGGACTTTCGATAAGCTCATGGACTATGCGATAAGCCTTGGGGCATCTATCAATCAGTACAAGACACCAAGGTGTGTGAAGTTTGCTCCCATCATTGAGCTTTTAAACTCTAGGGTTGTTAAGTCTTACTTCAGCCCCAAGTGTCCGAAATGGACTCCTGGTCATAAGCAGTGGGGAAGTAACTAAAGAGGAAGCTTTGAGGAGAAAGAGAGACCCCCCCCCCCCTCTATGTGATAAAGTTTCTAGTCCCATTTGAACTGTTTTTGTTAATCAGTTGAATATCGAGAAAAGTGGTCAATCATTATCTTCTGTTTGTCTAATTTTAATCTTAATCTTAAATTTTGCTTCGCTGTGTTTTTGGTAAACAACTTGTGTTATGCTTAGCTCCTAATCACATGTACATATGAACTTTATTATGTTTCTTTTAATCCACTTTGTTTTTACCATTTTCTTGCAATCGATTAGCCAGGGTGAATTGGCTAAACTGACCTGCTTTAGCAAATCAACAATTGAAAAGCCATAATTTTCTCTGACTGTTATGTATTTTTGTAAACTTCGAGAGATGAATTAGAATCGTCAAAGACTCAAGGATCGAAAACTAATTGATTAAGCAAATAAATATGTATGTAGACCCGACAATTTATTTTATGTGCACGTAATATAATAGTGCTGCATTTTCAAACTTTTATACAAGCCGAGCAAGTTTTTATCAGTTTAAACCACATTAACGTCAGAAGTAGCACAAATGAGAACAATGGGTCACTGGGTGATCATCAGAGACCACAAAACTGGCCTCGACTGGTAAAGTCTTTTTTTCTAGACTTTTATCAGTTATGATTTGTTTTGTTTTCTTATCTTATTTCTATTTTTCTGAATTCGAAATGGTGTCAGTTTATATTTTTATTTGAAATTATGGTTTTGAAATTAAAATTATGACGTTTATTAATTTGATTGTTTTTGTTTTGAACAAACCTTGATTAAATTAGTTAAAAACTCAAATAGAGTTAGAGAGAACAAGACCAAATTGGTCAAAACATCTGCTTCAGCGTTGTTAAGCCAAATTGGCCAAATAAATGAAAAGATAGTACATAAATGCTCGATATCAAACAACACTCCTTGAGCTTCAACTATCCTTCCTTCTGATAAGATGGCTGTAATAAGAGAGGAGTTTAACTCCAATAACTTATGCTGTGAAGGCAGAGCCGATAAAGCAACAGTCTGATTTGGTGGACAATATTGCTGTTGGAAGGGTCCTTGAAGATGCATCCATTCTATCGTTTTTATTATTGGTATTTGAAGAAACTGTCTATATATAAATCAATTGGTTTTCTGCATCTCTCTACTAACAAATGCATTAAGATATATATATATATATATATATATATATATATATATATATATATATATAAAGCTATTTTGAGGAGATCAATGATCACATCCAAAAATATTTTGATACCACAGAAAGAAAGAAAAAAAGGCAATATCTTGAAACTCTTTGGTTAACCTAAAATTGAAACCAAAATTTTCCACAAAATAATTTTCTTGGGCGACAAAGAGAATGACAAGAACTTCAATGATTTGGTAAACAAAACAGAAAATTTCAGATGGCACAAAACCGAGTGTCGGTTATTTGCTGGATTTGTCACGTGGCCAATCCGACAATCACTCAAATATACTTACACGTGTGGCTACAAATTTGTTGACTTTTGACTGACCCAATATGAAAGGTATCCCGCACGTGCGGTGCATCAAAGCTTTGTTCCCTTTCTGAGCTTACATTGTGGCTCAGGTAGGCGATAACTTGGCCCAGTAGTACAATAGAAGTAAAACGACACTGTATGATTTGTTCTGCGTTTTACTTCTTTTGTCTCCGATTTCAAATTATTATGTTTGCCCACATCGGCCAGTAAACATGATAAGAATAGTATAACTACAACACTGAACAATGCCCATCATGTGCTGTTTGGATAGTGGAAGATACATGTATATATGTATTATCATTTTATATACATTAATACGTTCTTTTTATATACATTAATACCTTAATACATACACGCAAACAACAAACATAACAATATGCAATGTTTTTATGTCTCATGACCATTATTGCACATATAATCATAATACTGTATCTGTATACGTGTTCTTTTTTACTTGATTTTTTATCTCGTTATTGAATTGCTTGCCCCGGCTAACAAGTAACAACATCAAGGTTGATTATTTATTTTTCTGCTTATTGTGTAATAAATGTGGAAATTTAACACTAATTAAAAAGCTAAAGCCTAAGTGAAGCTATCAAGTTATACAAGTGTAGTATGGTGGTTTAGCATGTTGTAAAATTGTGGTTTAACACTCGTATAACTATTTATTAATTAAATTATGGGGAAATTGCCAAAATTAACCCAAATATTCATTTTAACCCTAAATGTGTATCCCATATCTAATCAATTGCAAACCCAACTTAAATGGATGTTAAAACTACTATTTACCCCTTATGAACAAACAAAAAACACAGAATATATTTTACGATTCTGTCCTTCGTAGGTCTACACTTTAAGAAAAAGTCTACAACTAGGTAGACTTACATTAACGTCTACTGTGTAGACTAATGTAGACTTATTATTTAGTCTACTTCTTAATTTAATCAAATAATTTAATTTTAAAAATGTAGAAAAAATGTTTTTGGTAATTTTTTTAATAAATCATCAATTTAAAGGTTAGTATGAGGTATATAAATTAAATTTTCATATAATTGAACAATTTAAAAGAATGTGTATTGATTTGGGAACTATGTGGTAAACAATGTTAATGGTTTAGCAACCAAATGTTCTAACATGTTATGTCTTTTAGAGTTAGATTCTTAGGGTTAGATTCTAGATTTAGAATTATTTTGTTTTAATGATTCAAAGTTGCATATTTAATGTTGAGTAGTTTATATTTTGTATATATGATATTTGGTACAATGACTAAGAATTTTTTATAATCAATCAAACGTTTAGGGTTTGAGATTTGGGGTTTAGGGTTTGTGATTTCTGGTTTAGGGTATAGTAGACTTACAGTTAAGTCTACTTATATGTAGACGTCTATTTCAGTCTACATTAATTTGTGTTTACCAAAATAAATTATTTTAAAATTAAAATTAACTAAGCGGGAACTGAAAATGAATTTCGGAGCCTATTTTTTCATATTGCGCCGATATTTAGGGTATAGTAGACTTACAGTAAAGTCTACTTATATGTGGACGTCTATTTCAGTCTACATTAATTGGTGTTTATCAAAAAAAATATTTTAAAATTAAAATTAACTAAGCGGGAAGCGAAAATGAATTTTGGAGCCTATTTTTCCTATTGGCGCCAATACTTATGGTAAAGTCTACTTCGATAGTAGACGTCTCTTTTAATCTACTATAATTGGTGATTACAAAAAAAAAAATTTTAAAATTAAATTTATTTGTTTATGAATTAAAATTTTACCAAAAAAATATATACTAAGTCTACTAAATATATAATGAAAATAAAAATTTTAGATTATATATTATAAACAATTTAAACAATAAAGAAAAATATTATAGTAGACTTCCAAAGAAGTCTACCTAGCATAAAGTTTTAACCAAAATAATTTGAACCAAACCAAAATTAAACCAAAGAGTTTTAACCTAATCAGAAAAATGACTTGACATATAAATACTCTTTCTTATTAAAAAAAAAGGCGACAAAAAAAGCTGCCTCTCTCTCTCTCTCTCTCTCTCTCTCTCTCTCTCTCTCTCTCTCTCTCTCTCTCTCTCTCTCTCTCTCTCTCTCTCTCTCTCTCTCTCTCAATTCCTCTCATCCTTTTTCTCCGATGTTCCCCGGCGAAAGCTTCAGAGACGGCAAAGCTGAGGCTAACGGGCGTAGAGAACGTGAAGGAGAACGTGGAAGTGTTGAAGCTTAAAACAAAGAGAGGGAATCAGGTGGTTGCGGCGTATATTAAGAACCCTAAAGCCTCACTCACGCTTCTGTATTCTCACGGCAACGCTGCTGATCTTGGTCAGATGATTGAGCTCTTCTCCGAGCTTAGTCTTCATCTTCGTGTCAACTTAATTGGGCAATAGTCAAATTTTTTTTTTGCAATTAGGACATGGTGTTCTGGAAGCTGCTTTCACGGGTTTAGGACAAGTTCTCTGTTTTGTTTGGTATGTTAAATGTTCGGTTCTTGTAATTCATGTGAGTTTCATCATCAAGATCATTAGTTTCGCCTCTACCACACCAGACCCCTTAGCTTATTCCTTGAATATAGTCACTAAATTTCAGACCACTGTTACTTTTCAGGCAATGGGGATGAATTGCTTACACACCAACACACCAACAATTGTTCATCATGATTTAAAAACACCAAACCTTTTGGTTGATAATAACTGGAATGTTAAGGTACGTAAATATTTTTTCCTAAGCTGACTAACTAAAAGGCTTGTTTGCTCTGATGCTGGATTATTGAATTTTGTTTTCGTTTATCTCACTAATCTTGCAGGTCGGTGATTTTGGGTTTTCTCGCTTAAAGCACAATACTTTCTTGTCCTCAAAATCAACTGCGTGAACGGTGAGACTCTTTTATCCCACTAAGTTGTGGTAGACATGCAATTTCCAGCTCCTTTTCTGATGATAAGCGTTTTGAATTGGTAGCCCGAATGGATGGCTCCAGAGGTTCTACGCAATGAGCCCTCAAATGAAAAGTGAGTAGCTTAGACTCCCAGTTTTGGTCATTGCCTCTACCACAAAAGTTATGCTCTTACTTTGACATTTTCCAAGGAGAATGTAATATAAAAACATGGTGGGCTTCTTTGTTTCCGCTGGTGTGATGTGTACAGCTTTGGGAAGATTCTATGGGAACTAGCAACATTGAGGTTGCCATGGAGAGGAATGAACCCAATGCAAGTAGTAGGAGCAGAGGGTTAATCTCGTTTGTGAGAATATCATGACTCGTGAGGTAGATGAAACGATGATTTGGGACTTGGGTTGCAGGGAACGAGTTTTTGGGTGCTGTGAATGAGTTGAGAGGTTTTATTGATCAGTTAGAGGGAACAGAAGAGGAGGTTTCTTTGAGGAAAGCTCATGATGTTCTTCAGACGGTGATGGCAAGACTTGAGGATGAGTTTAAGCATCTTCTTGTTGAGAACAGGCTGCCTTTTGAGATCGAACACGGTTCGTTTCGGTCTGAACGTGGCGTGGGAGAAGGTTCTTTGACTTCTTTTGGTGCTGCTTCTACTGAGGATTTGATTCTTGGAAGGAGTAGTAGGAGAGAGTCAGGGGAGATTGTGGTTGATTTGGTTAGACCTGAGGTTATATCAGATCTCAAGAACATTGCATATACTATGGTTGGGTCAGGATATGAACGTGAGTGTATCCAGGTATGTACTATGGTTAGGAAAGAGGCTTTAGATGAGTTTCTTTATGATCATGAGGTTGAGAAGTTGAGTACTGAAGATGTTTTGAAGATGGATTGGGCTACATTGAATGCAAATATCAAGAAATGGGTTAGGTTATGAGAAACATTGTCCAGATATATCTCGTTAGTGAGAAGTCTCTGAACAGTCAGATCTTTGGGGAAGTAAACGAGTTTGGTTTAACATGTTTTGTCGATACAGTGAAGGCTGCTGTGATGCGGTTACTTAACTTTGGTGAAGCTGTGTCTCTTGTTCCACGGCAACCTGGGAGGTTGTTTAGGATTCTTGAAATGTATGAGTTAGTATCTGAGTTTTTACCAGAGATCGATGCACTCTTCTTGGATCAACTTGGTTCAACGGTTAGAACTGAGTACAGAGAAGTGATGAGGAGGCTTGGAGACTGTGCAAGAGCAATGTTTCTTGAATTCAAAAGTGCTATAGCTTCTGATGTCTCTTCACACCCTTTCCCTGGAGGAGCGGTTCACCCGTTTACAAACTACGTGATGAACTACCTCATGGCGTTAACTGACTTCAGCCAAACGCTTGACTCGCTTCTCATGGAGCATGAGGATGAAGAGACATGAACATACACATGCATTCAAATAGCTTGATTTGGTTATTGAATAGAATATGATAAGACCAAATTAGGTAATCTTCATTACATTTGATGTGTATACATAGCTTTCTACAAGCAACACTCATGCTGGTTACAAAAATTAGAAGCCAGCAACACTCATGCTTGTTACTTATTAGTCTTCTTTCTTGTAGACTTACAAAGAAGTCTAATTGACAGAGAAAAATATAACATAAGTCTATCACATTAGACAACATCCAAAGCAACAATATAGTTTATAAGTTCAACACACACTAAAGACCTACAAATCCAATAGAAGACAACTCAAAGCAATGAGACACTAATATATAATTGAACATCCATAGCAATAAGACAACTCATAAGTTCAACACATAACACTAACACATCTAGAGTTTTTCACCACCCATTCTCTGTATACAACGAGTAATTGAGCCATCTCCTGCAAAAACAAAATACGGTTTACATAATTAGTAAACCAAAATTTCATGTTTGATAAAATTATATCATAGACTTACAAGTACGTCTACAAATTTTAAGCTTACAACATAGACAAACAAAAAATTTGATAACTTCCTAATAATAATAGATTATCTTCTGAAAATCATTCAAGACCCTTATGATTAACTAACACACACTTTCATAAAAAAAAATTTGAAAAACTTAATGAATAATACACAAATCCACTTCTGATAGATTTTTCTAGGTAGACTACATATTCAGTCTACAAATGTGTAGACGTTCTATTCAGTTTACATTTGGTAGACTGCAAATTAGATCTACGTCTAGGTTGGTTTTTGCAATTGCCAAATTCACGGGTTATTTTCTGTATTTGAAAAAAGATGTGATTTTATACGAGTAAACTTCTTTGTTAGTCTATATTTTTAGAAAGTTAGTTTTGCAATTGACCAGAATTCGGTAAGTGTTTGACCAGAATTCGGTAAGTCTACATCTGTTAGTTTACATTTTTAAATTTGTTTAAAAGAGGTTAGTTTTGCAATTGACCAAAGTTGACTTTCTATTAGTAGACAAAACTAAATGTCTACATAACTGTAGACTGCAGTAAAAGTCTACACTATAACCCGACATGTTAGTTTTGCAATTGACCAACATAAAATAGTAGACTTCATATGCAGTCTACTTTTTTCCTCAGTTTTGTAAACTGCATATGAAGCCTACACGTAAAGTAAGTTTTAATCCGTTTCTAAACATATTAGTCAAATACAAAAGAAACCTATTCAACGAAGTTAAAGTTTTGGTTAAATGCAAAACCGACTTTCAGTAGACTTCCAAGAAAGTCTACTATGGTAAGTCAAAATTTTGGTCAAATGCAAAACTAACCTCATTTATGTAGATTTCTTAGTAAGTCTACCAATTTTTTTTTTTTTGGTTTCAAAGGTAAAGACCTTGACGTACTTGTAAGTCTATATTACAAAAAAATTATTTTGGTCAATTGCAAAAGTAACCTATGCGTTGACAAGTAGACTGCATCGTAAGTCTACACATAAGTTTAGATATATAATATAGTCTACTTTCGCGATACAGATCAGAGATATGACGAAAATCATGTAAATAGTTACCTTGACACCGGTTTAAAGCTTGTTTCCAAGCTTTTCCACCGTCCAGAATCCAAATATGAGCAAAAGAAGCAACTTTTACGATTCACTTGTCAATAAAATCAAAACTATGAAGTTTGTGTTTATGAAAATGAGAGTTATGAGGATTGTTTAGATGAAAATAGAGAGGAAATGATAGGAAATGAAGTATTGTTGGTTTAGAAAGTGAAATAAGTGGTTAATAATTCATATCTTGAACTTAAAGAGCTCATCAATGGTGGTTTTTGGTGGTTGCAAATATTGATGACAATGGTATTGTGGTAAATAAGGAGAAATGTTTAGGGTGTAATAGGTTTTTAATAATTTTTGAAATTTATATAATATTTAATAATAATGGCAATTTTGTAAATAGTTAGAAACATGAGGAGAGTTTAGATTTTCAAGAGTGAATAATAATGACAAAAAAAAAGATGTTTATTTTGTGTTTGACTCAAATTTTTAGGTTGGTTTTGCAAAACCCCCTTAAATTATTTGTTTATTACTTCCAATTCGACAAAGTATAGAGAGTTGAAGTCTACTAATACGGCGTATAGAATCGTTAGATTGATGTGCTACACTACCACCATCAAATATTTATTATCGCATGCATTAATGTTAATAGATTAAAAGGATTACAAAACTGGTCAAATAGTTAAGCAGTAATTATTTATAATAAAAATTTAGTTAAGAAATCACTCATGTTCAATATTTTCTTTTTTTTTTACAACAAGAAAACTAAACTATATAATTAGTCCTGCCGATTCAGAATGTCCAATATTTTCTTAAATTTATGTATACATTTTTTTCTAAATTATATTAATATTACCCATGGGCATATTAATATAAATGTTTTGTTTGTCAAAGAATAATATGAGAAAATGCTCAAACAAAAAAAAAGTCACGATTGAAGAAAATAATGCATAAGAAATGGCATCATCACTGAATATTCATGAATCATTTTTTTGTAACTTAATATTCATGAATCATGATTCCATCAAACGACATGATACTTCTTTTTCGGGTCATGCACATGAAGCAACTTATACCTAACATAGTGTGGCCACTCTCGTCCATGCAAGAAATGAATAAACGATGATGTGAACTTTGTTGCTATGTGCGTATTAACTGCTGCTTGTTTTATTTAGAGCTGTATCTGTTCATTTCATGGATTGTTGGATATCTATGGTATAATATTGACTAACTAATGTAAAAGAACATGCCTTTAAGTTTCGCTGATCAGTTCGTGCGATGTTTTCATTTAGATAGTTAATATTATAATTTGAAAAGTAAAATTTTAAGCGGATAAACCAAAATGATCCCTTACGTTTGAATATATAAGTCTGACTACTATTATTGCTCTAACCAGATAATTTCTGGTATTAATTAATCTTGTACCAGAATTCTTCGAGATCCGATAGCATTGTACCACAATTATTTGCTACATTACCTTTAAAATGTCCTTAAGTAGTCTTCTTTCTGGAGCATATTCGAATCCATTTCCCCTGATTCTCAAGCTTAATTGAAACCTTATAGTGAAAGATTCATTCAGGATATTCCGGTTGATAATGAAAGAAAGAGTTAATTAACATCTTAAAGTCTTTTTTTTTGGACAAAAACATCTTAAAGTATACTATATGTTTCAATATTTGTGAGTAGTGAAGATGTATGGTGCAGACAAAGCTGAAGTAGTTCAAGAACGGAGTTGAAGTAGTTCATGAAGCACGACATGAACTACTAAGTGAAATGCGGAGTCTAGAGTCGAGCAAGAAAAAGGAAGGAGCCTTTAATAAAGATGTGAAGATATTTATCAAGGCGTGGGCATTAAGGAAAAAGGAATGAAGAATAAGCAACCATT